GAATCCTACATACTATATTATTACATAATTTTAAGCTTTTAAGATCTGTTTCTTGAAGTGTACTTTTGACACTCCACCCTGTCCAACATCTCTGTTTCGCTATCATGCCCCCGTCCCCGCTCTCACCGATTCTTTTCAAGTGCGTGCGCCCAAGTTTATGCAATGTTTTTTCGCTTGTTTTGCGGCATTGTCAACAGTTTTATTTCGTTACCCCCCGCGCACATCCTTCCTCTTTTCGCGCTTTTTCCTTCGGCTTGTTAATATAAAGCAGGCGCCATCGCCCCAGCCATCGTCGCATTGTTGTTTTCCCAGATAGGCCAGCGTCCGCACTTATAAATTGTGTGATTCCTCCCCAGCGCCAGTTTAAACAACAATGTGCGTCAAGTGGAGCATGTGCTTGTGAGCATGTAAGTGGCTCCGCGGACCTGTGTGTGTGTGTAGGAGGCGTTAAAACAAAAGTCAACAAAAGCCCCTTCGCCAGTGACTCCGTGTGTGAGTAAGCTGCTAAAATAGTAAATTACGAGGATGCACACACAAAGGCAACAGCACCACCACCAACAAAATTTTCTGCATCCTTCTCAGGCTGAGACAAACAAACGCGTTGCATACTTATGTGGGCGCCAAGAGCCTGTGAACTTTGCCTTCAGCATCGGCAATGACTTAATAAGCAGTCCGCTCGAGAGATGGGCAGGAAGCTTACAAGGATATCCCCGGCAATCTAACTGTCTCCAACTGGATTTTGGATTGTGTTTCTGGTCAAGGTTGTAGAAGGATGGGTTTACTAGACTAGCAAGTTGGATAAAGTCCTTAAATCCTTTAACAGGAAGTCTCTAATCATATAAGACTGTGATTAGAGTAACTTCAATCAAAGAAAAGCTAAGAAATTAGTTAATGCATCTGACAAGTTTGGTTTACAAAGCTTGTTTTTACTTTATATAATATATGAACTCTTTGAAAAAGCTGTGGGGGCGGTTCCCGCATTACAAGTACAACACTGCAGCTGCTGCAACAAAGTCAATGCACTTTGCAACTGATAAGAACCGCATCTAAAAGTTTAGAATTTCTGCTGGCGTTCCGCCGCTACGACCAAGTAACCCAAGGTAAACAAGCGGGTTGCCAGCAGCGACTTGTTGCTATCTTCTATCTACTCTTGGAGCTTCAGTCTTCTGGGCTGTGTCTTGTGTCGCTTTTTGTTGCCGTTGCGATTTCGCCGGGTGTCGTTAAATTATTTTCTTTACTGCTGCGGCGAGCTCTTTATATTACTTTCTGATGACACAGACCCAGGCCCGAGCCCCAGTCCGATAAGGAAAGCAGCTCAGCACTGGAGCTGTGAAGCACTAGGAAACGCTGAGACAGCGCGAGGTGCAACCGGAGGCGCCTTTGAAGGAGTCGAATTTCCGCTTCGATCCGAATTCAATATCCCTCCTATTGCTGATATTTACTTATTCCGCTAAATAGGCACTTTTGTAGGTGAATCTGCGAGTGACAGATTCGGAAAGTTAATCACAGGCCGATCTCCTCTGACACACTGCCTCCGAAGAGTTCGCGGATGAGTCACAAAGCCCAGAGACCCGAGAGCCCAGAGACTTTTAATTATTTATTTTCGAAAATATCTCTTTGAAGTCATGCTGCAAATATGCCGCTGGAAACAGCATAAAACTTGGCTCACCGATAAAGATAAAGCTTTATTTATCCAGTAATTGGATATATGTATATAATATAGTTGAGAAAGCTCTTCTATCTTTTGTGGAGCGATAGAAGTATATTATCTACTATCGTGACTACGTCCGGGTGGTGGTTGGGTATTTCTAAGATAAGGCTAATAATACTATTAGTATTTGTGTCGAAAGACCCATTACTCATCAATAGCATTGGAAATAACCTAGGCCAACCCCCATTTGTCAAAATAAGTCCAATGTTCTCTGGCTACTGGCCTATTTAGAGCAGTATCGTAATCTCCGCATTGTACCACTTTGATAACAAAATAATGCCTGGGTAAGGTTACGAACCGACTTCTGGCATAAGTTGTGTCTATAAATATAGCCAACAAATGCATTTGGCCATAAATTTCGGCAACGCAGCATATCGAAAACGCTCAGTACCCCCCCTCCCGTACGATAATGCTTGACTTAATTACACATGAGGGTAAGGACGTCCGTGGGGGCGAGAGGGATGGCCTGACTGGGCGACAGAGACAGATGCAGGGGGTGCAGACAGCTGGCAGACGGACCCGACTCGCAGTGGCATGGCACAAATGCACTTAAGTTTTCTTCTCGCCGGGCTCCGCTCTGCTTTTTCGGGGAGGAAGTCGTGGCATAAGGCACACATCACTGCCACCGAAAGGAGAGTGGCTGACACAGCGAGGGGGTTGCAATGGGAACGGTAACTTAGGATAAGGTAAGGATCCGCTAAGGGTTATCCTCTATCTACATAGATATTATGCTCCTAAAAATAGCTCCAATAAGAAACCCAACTACGAGGCAGCTGCCTTGGTGATACGCTCAAATCGCAGCAGTTGCAACCCTTAGCGAGGGCTCACTGTGCCGCAATTGCAGGACTAGCTCGCGCCAAGCCCCGACAGCTGCCTAGGTTCCGGGTCTGAGACTCAGTCTTGGATTCAGAATCAGAATACGTCTACGGCTCAGTCAATGCTCATTCAGCTCTGGGGATAATTGCTGCCAAACGAAGTGACATTTCTCCCCGAGAATCCTTTGTGCCGCTGGCTGGGATTTTGTGCCCATTATTCTCCGTCATCTGCAATGGCAGTTGTAGTTGCAACTGCTCGTGCCGTGCAAATTCAGGCAACTCGACATACAGGCAGGCAGGCAGGACGGATGGAATTTATGTTTGTCGAGGAAGTAAGACTATTTTTGAGGCAGCTGAGTTGTGAGCTGTGTGCCCTCTGTCTTGTGCATTTCGTTAACGTGACAAAAATACATTGATTATATTTTTTAGCTGCACTCGACTCGGGGATCTCCGTATTCCATGCTCTGTGTTATGGGTTTTTGGGTCTTAGTCCCTGGGATGGGGGAGGCGCACGTCCGCACACTTGGCACATTTGTCAGAGCAGCACTGCCGTGTAAACATCTTACACGTAGGACTCGGATCCTTGTGCATCCCGTTTAAAATACGGCAGACGGCAGGCAGAGTCCTCGTGTCGCTGGAGGTCTTTGAACTGACAAATTACATTGACGGCGAACGGAGGAAATTCCATTCGTGTGCACTCTGAACCTCCATTACTGGAGCTCCACACTGAGAAGCCTGGAGGTCAATGTTACCCATGCCCGGTCATAAAAAGTAAAACTTTCCCGTCAATAGATAAATAAAGTAAACAATTCGTTACAAGTTCTGGAGATGGGGGGGTCCCTTCAAGAAGTGTGATTCAATAGATGTCTCGAAAGTTGTTTCGATAATATTATTTGTGGGTTTTCAGTGTACTGTTTTAAGTAGTTGTTTTCGATTTTAATTTGCTTACTCTGCTTTCTATGCATGTCAGTGTGTACCTTCGCCCCCTGAACATTCCGAGTGCTTTAACTACTTTCGCAAATTGGAATTTGCTTCAAATTGGCAACAGTGTGGGCTGCTCTTAATATTGCCTTTTGCCATAGATGGTCGATCTAATGGCGCTTCAATAGCGTTTGCAACAATTGTTCAATTGCCTAATTGCTGACGATGGCTGTTCATTTTGGGGCCATATTTCCTCTCTATCTCGACCCTGATCGATCCACAAACGAGTCGCTTTAAGTTACAATATTCACTGGCCCTTTCAACTATAAACGTTTCCCGCAATCTTATCAGGTATCACCGCCCAAAAGTGGACAAACTTGCGCAAGTTGCAATCGGGTTTCGATACGGAAATTCTTAATTTCCAAGGGGGTTGACAAATATCTGAAATAACTGCCGGCAAACTGTGCAAAATTAAAATTTGCATTAAATCACAGCAACAATAACAAGAGGCCCTAATCCCTAATCAAGTAACAATATCTCAGGCAGCTGCGCATGCGCAGAAAGAGCACAAATCTGAGGAAAGGGAGATCTCACCTTTTGGAAACGCTACCGAACAGCTGGGCCCTATTTTGAACTGATTGTGAGGGTTCTACAGAGAGAGAGAGATAGATAAGAAACGATATAGCAGCACAACATACTATACTATAAACCACCACCAACTACTACAACAACTACCAGAAGTGACAAAGCGAACAATGCTCTGCATTATGCGAAGCGTGTGTACTTTATGATTAAACAAATATGTAGGAGAGAAATGCCGAGGGAGACCCGGCCAGAGAGAGCAGCTGCTGATAATGCTCTTCTACAGAGGTGTTACCTGGTATAGCCAGAAAAAGGCTAAATCTTCTGATAAGGTAGACGTTTCTCAAAGAAAACTGGTGGTTTTAAATGGTATGGCTCCAAGAAAATCTATAAATTTGTTAGATATATTCTGATATCCTTCAGATATTTTATTTTTACTTAAATATTAAATAACTTAATATTAGGATATACATTCTTTAAAGGTTTATCTAACCAAACCTCAGGGATTACTTCAACCAGAGACTCTTTAAACTTGAACATCCACAAGGTAACTAGTCAGAAAGGTACCTAGCGGGAAAACGTCCAAGCCAACAGCACTAAGCCGGTCTAGCCAGGTAATACTTCTCTCCGCCACCACCACCATGCCTCACCCGAGGAGTCGAGGCCCAGTCGAGAGACTCATTCGACTTCCAGCGCTGACAGAACGCAGACGCAACCGCTGCGATCACCGTGGATTATACTCGTTTCGCCTCGTTTCGTTCGGTTTCGCGTGTTTAGTGAGTAGCTCTTTGTGTTAACTGTTGTATAGTGTTGAACTATTTGAGCTTCTGATTGTGGGTGCACCACCACCCACTGCCCACTACCCCACCCCTCCAAAGTCAAGTGTGTGGTGACCAAAAATAATCAAATGACACGTGCTTGAAATACTAAGTTTTGTATCTCAAAGTGACAAAAAGCAAAAAGGCAGCAGCAGAACCGAAGCGACAATAAAAAAAGCTATCTTGGGATTACCTCGGCATTGTTTATCGGCCATCGAGACAAGAAAACGGTAAGTTTTAGGCGCTATAAACTGAATATGGAATGGCAGCCAAACAGATAACTGTTTATTGCCCCCTTTGACCCCAATAAGCTTATCAATAAACACAAATATTTAATATGATTCGTCCATCCATACGCCCCTTGTAATTACACCCATTTATGAAGCTCATAACCCCAGCTATGCGGCTTTATGATTTTATTTTGTTTTTTTCGAACGGAATTCCGAAGGACTTTCCAAAGCTGGGCTTTTATGACTCAGGAGCGTCCCAGCGTCGTCAGGCCACATAATGATTTCTTCTCTTTGTGTTCGTTTCCCCGGAATGTTCTTTATAACGTAGATCCCCCTATGAGTCATGAATGAGCTTTGTGGGGTGTGCGAGCTCGGTGTCCACCTATTGGATAACTGCGAGATATAATTTGGGGGGAGGTACGGTCCAAGGGGCAGAGGTGAGTGATCAACTTGATGGCTGGGGGGCTTAGTCACCGCGTCTGGATAATATTAATTGGGTTGCATAAGGAAAAGGTCTGGCATGGGTTGACAGATGTGGGTATCCGAAATGGAAAAAAAGTCAATTCCCACCTCAACACTTTCCTAATTTCTGTTTACTGAAATATAATGATAATAATCATGGGGGAGAACCACATAATTGCACTGATCTAATTCCATTTGGAGAGCATTTGCGGTTCTGCGGATAAGATGGATCCATTAGAGTGCTAAACACCGGCCATTACACCGGCCATCAGGAGAGGTGTTATTAAGAGCCCGCTCCCCGGACTCGGCGCCTCCATCCAAGAAACCAGTCCGAAGTCAGTCACCTGCGGCGGCCACCGCTCTCCATTCGGATCGGATCGATATCAATGACAATTGGTGTCGATGGCAGAGCAGCGGAACAGTGGATTCTCGACTGACAGTACCCTGGAGCCGAGCCTGGGAGGGGCGGCTACCGTTAGATGGCAAATGCCAGAGCCATGGCGATTGTCTAATTGAATGGGATTAGTGTTTAATTTGGCTTAGTTTATTGATTTTCGCGCGAAATACTAATGTGATGGGAAATGTCAACCCACTCGCCCCCTGAATGATGATTTTTTTATGGATGTGGCATTTGCAACAATGGCTGGGATTCTATTTGGGAGCCATTTGTAAACTGTTTATGGTTAGTGAGACTTGAATAATTGGACCTTTTTAATGCAATTGCCTAGCGATTTTTTACATAATTAAATGATTGTTTAAAAACTGATTTATTATTTAATTGCTTGCCACTCGAATGACAACAATTAATTATGCAATAACAAAAAGATGGCGAATAAATAAATAATAATTTCATTATATCAATGCAACAGCTGCCAGCAGAATGCAGAACGCAGCAGGAGAGTAGAGCTCTCCTACAGCAATTAAAATTTATTACGCTTATGTTGCATTTATTCCATTTTAATTTGTCGCTTAAATGTCAAAACTATTAAAATGATTATGGCCCGCGGCGGATTAATCAATGAAAGCTCTGGCTTGCTGTTTCCAATACTTTTTGATCTGGTCTGGCATGGGGTCTTTTGGGGGTCTGGGGGCTCCATCACACACGGTTAATTAAGCCGGCTGGCTGACAAATGGGTTGCGAAGGGAAATCTATAGTACTTTGGGCCCTCCCCACCCTCCACCATTTTTTTTTCGTAACTTTCCCCGTTTTTGGCCTCGTGATCAATACGTTTCAATGCACTTTCCACTGCCCCCGACCCAAAACCCAAGTTCAGTTAACACTTGAGCCCCACTCGAATGGCATATTAACTTAATTATGATGATTAACATTTTCTGTGTAATTTTTGCAGCTCTCAATGCAGTTTTACGATGCAATTTTCAATATATTTTTACAGCAGTGGCTTTACAAAAAATAAATGTAAAACCCAGAACTTAAATTTTCTCTTTATTTTTGATTTATTATGAAATTCTATCGATAGCGCAGCATTATCTTTTCGGGTGTTGTGGGGTCTTTAAGCGATATGGAAAAGAGTACCGTTAATTGTTATTGAATCTATTTTTTTTTGTTGTGGGCTTTGTACTGCATACATTATGTTTTTTTATTTCCAAATTAATTGGCGGATTGTTTCCAGAACGAATTGGAAATTCTTGTTAGGACCAAACTCGTTTGCTGACAACTCTATTTTGGCATTTGCATATGAATTTCGACTGCCTTTTGTGCTTAATTAACCATCCAGCTAGTACAACGAACTCTCCCATTCGGTTGCTAGTCACTTAAATTATACATTAATTTTTACACTATTAAACACACCCAATTAGGTGCAATTTGTGGCTGTTTTCGTTGTTACTGCTCTTGGGCATTTGTAATGAGCCGTACTCGTTGTCTTCTCATCTCAGCTATGTATTTCCCTCCTCGGAACCGGATTGTTAGCTAAACATTTTTTACATTTCGCTTTGCCTACTAATGAGCGACGTCTATTAAAATTACTCACGGCTGGCCATAAATATCGATTAAGGGGCGGTTTTTCAATCAATTTAAACAGGCCGCAATGGCTATGGCAATGGCTATGGGCGGGGAGGTGGTAATGAGACAGCCACCCGCAGGAGACGTCGCAGGGTCAAGGACGGGGACACGAATTTTTCCTTGGCTGGCTTCGGTTACTAATCCAATTAGAATTAGGCCGCCGGCCAGGGAAGTCGTCTTTGTATGTAGGTGTTCCTAATTAGATTTCTTCTGGCCAGTCGGTTTCCTGTGGGAGAAATTAAATTAATATTGTCGCCAACAAACGCGGGCATTTTTCTTTCTAAACAGGGAGACGAAACATAATTTATTTGAAGCTAAGCTGTAAAGCTATATTTTTGATATTTTGTCGTCCTATCTTTCAAAATTTTAACTTTTGTAAAAATTGTACAATTTTTAAAATCGAAAATGTAAAATAGTTTTTACATCGATCAAATGTCATGTAAAGTCTACACATGTAGACTATTACCAGATGGCGCCACTAAATCGAAAGCGTTAGCCCGTCGTATGAAAGCTATCTGGCAACCCTAGCCGAGCAAGCTGTTTTTAAGAGATCGGAAAACGGTGACTCACGTTTCCTTTTATAGATTTTGCTTAAAAAACACTAATGATTACTAAGATAAAAGGAATTTACAAGTTTTTGAAGATTAATTGAAAAATAGACAAGCTGCGCGTACGGCAAACAGTCACACTGCGCAAACGACTTCGATAAACGATAGCCGCATTGCAATCGAAAACTGTCGGATAAAGAGCAGCAACAACAATTAAGTGAACAGCTGCGTTTTCTCCTCTGCCAAATTGTTTTCCGTCGGAAAAACCAAGGGGGCTGTGAAAAAGGAGGATTTGTTCGCCAGGCGCGTCTAGATCGTGACTAGATCGGAAGCCAAGTGTTTTCCCGTGAGTGGGGTGGCGATCAAGGCCGAAATGCGGCCAATTTAAGGTGAAATTAGCCGATTGCCGCACGACGACGTCACCGCCAGTCACAAGTACAATTAAGAGGAGCACTCACTCACACACACACACGACAAACGCCCAGGTGTGCACAGACCCCATTGAGATTGTTGTAAATTATGAAAGCGATTTATCAACTGGAACTGGAAATCCAACAACAAGCAGCAACAAGCTAGGAAGGAAGAGGAAGGAAACCAACGAAAACAACAAAAGCACTGGGGAGCACCCTCTTGATCGGCGGATACACAAAAGAGAGAGCGGCAGCGGCCCTGAGAGAGGCGACCGCGAGGGCAAATAACTATTTATTTTCGCTGGATATCTTCTCTCTTTCGGCGAGTGACCTTTGGCGGTGGCAGTAGCATTAGCCAGGTTTTCCCTCGAGCATTTCTGTGTAAGTACGCTAATTAATTCGCAAATAAAAAAAGCAAAACGCTTTAATTGCAAGCTCCATAATACATGCTCCAAGTGATGCTCCAAGGCAAAGAAGCAGCAGCCAGTTAACAGCTCTTCCAAGGTTAACAGCCACATAACAGCGAATGTTAAAGCCATTAACTGGGGAGTCATTGGAAGATAGTTTCCATAGCATATCAAAGATAGTAGAGACGCCCCCGCGGATAGCCTGATATAATTTTCATTCATCGAATAAACGTGTGAAAAACTTTCCGTTGTTTTGTTTTTTTCCCCCGACAATATCATGCGTGCGACAAATATTAAAAAAGACTCGAGACTCGAGGAGAGAATGATATATAGGATATAGCTTCCTCTCTGTATCCATCCGCCAAGCGACAATCTACGAAAATAAACACACACGAGCCATCTGAATGGCCAGTCCGCCCCCAGCCCCGCCCCCATAGCGCCTATGCTTTGGTTTCGGTTTCCATTTTTCCCCAAAAAGCACACACCCCCCAGCTCGTCCACAAAAATAATGACTTTCCTATAATAATTTTGTGGATTTTTGGCCTTAATTGTTTGCGTTTTCAGCAAACGATTGGCCAGTACACTGGAAAAAAATGGATTTATTTATAAAAAAGAATTGTGGGATTATAAACAAGTGGTTTTTCCATCTATTGAGTCAATAAATGGCGTGTTTAGAACCCTATTTGTCTGGCAGGCGATTAAGGAAATATCCGTTTTATTGGCCAGTTTTTGTTTCAATTAAAAATCATGAAGCCGATTATCAAACAATAATATGAATCGGTCCGGTGTACGTTTGCTGAGGCAGTCGGACGTGTCTGCCGGTTATTTAGGATTCCCATATGCAAACAATCGAATTTTACGGTCTGACTCTCTAGTTACCTGGTCGTTTTTGAATTTTAAATCATTTCGAGTGATTTCCTCATGCACTCGCAGTTTGGGAGTCACTTTGGCCCGAATACCATGGCCGATAAAGGCTAATTGCCGCCTGAGCCATTGTTGTTGCTTATGTGGCTGCTCTCTAAAAAGTAAACAGAAGATAAGCCACATATAGTTGTGGATAACAGCTGCTGGGACGTCTCGGGTTGCTGAGGAGCTATTGTTGGAACTGGGGCTGGGTACGCAAAAATCATGTATACGAACGTGACAGCTGCGGCCTTAGTGGCTTAATCACTTGCGAGTGGCTTACTCATCCCACATTCATGCAATCACTCCAACACCCACATCCACACCCATTTTGAGCTGCAATTGATGCGTTCTTGCTTTTACACAGTTTTAGAGGAACTGCAATAAGTTGCTTTCTCCTCCGCAGGGAGCAGAAATCGCCGAAAGATGGACACCGTTGTCGAGCTCGAGCTGGAGCCCGTTGGCAAGCAGGATGTGCCAAAGGACATACCCGAGGAGGCATCCGAATCTCTGCCGGAGAAGCCGATGCAGTTGGAGAGAAAAAGCCTGCTGACGCCGGTGAAAACAGTCACCGAGGCGCCCACCACGACCTTTACCCTAAGAACCCCTTCGGGAAACTCTATTCAGGACCTGGAGAGCACGCCCCTCACTCCCAAGACACCGGTTCCGTTGAGCCTACAGCCCGGCACATCCAGACAGCTTTTCAAAGAAGCCGCCTTGGCGCACGGCGGTCGAGAGAGCACGGCGCTGCTCCAGCAGGAGCTGAACTTCATAGCCGCCAGCCAGACCCCTGCCTCGAAGCTGAGAAGCGCCAGCTCCACCCTGGACGCGAGTGTTTCCCGGAATCCCTCCACAACTGGCGGCAAGCATGAGAAGAAGCTCGGACATCGACGCGTGGCCGAGGGTGGCGAGGTGACCTACAAGAAGATCCAGTCCAAGCAGATCATGGGGTCCATTCAGCTGGGCATTCAGCACACGGTAGGCAGTCTGGCCAGCAAGCCGAAGCGGGATCTGTTGATGAACGACTTCTGGGAGATGGAGACGATAGCCTTTCCGCCAGATGGTTCGTCGATAACGCCGGCGCACCACTACAGCGACTTCCGCTTCAAGGTCTACGCCCCCATTGCCTTCCGCTACTTCCGCGACCTGTTTGGAATCGCGCCCGACGACTTCCTCATGTCGATGTGCGCTTCTCCGCTGCGGGAGCTCTCGAATCCGGGAGCCTCCGGGTCCATTTTCTACCTGACCGATGACGACGAGTTCATCATCAAAACTGTGCAGAAGAAGGAGTGCCAATTCCTGCAGAAACTTCTGCCGGGCTACTACATGAATCTTTCGCAGAACCCACGTACCTTGCTGCCCAAATTCTTTGGGCTTTACTGTTTCCATTACAACTCGAAGAACGTGCGCCTGGTGGCGATGAACAACCTGTTGCCCTCCGACATCAAGATGCACGCCAAGTACGACCTGAAGGGTTCCACTTTCGGGCGAAGGGCCTCCAAGGCCGAGCGCCAGAAGGCGAGTCCGACGTATAAGGACCTCGATTTCGCCGAGCACTACAAGGATGGCATCTTCCTGGAACCCGACAAGTACGATGCTTTGATGCGCACCATCCAGCGGGACTGCATGGTGCTGGAAAGCTTCCAGATAATGGACTACTCGCTTCTGTTGGGCATCCACAACCTCGACCTGGCCGCCAAGGAGAAGCGGGAGGAACGAATAATGAGCGCGCGGGCCAAGTTTCAGCGCAAAGAGAGCGCCGCGCAGGGTCCTCCATCTCTGAACCACGACGACGATGCCCCAGAGGCAGACCAGAATCAGCTACATGCCGTGGCCTCCTACGCCTCCATTCCAGGAACTTCGGGAGCAGCTGGCGGAACCGGCTTGAGCCGCTCGCGCAGCATTAACCGACAGCGGTTGGTGGCCCATTCGACGGCCCTGGAGTCCATCACGGCCGACATGGACGTGCCGCTCGAGGAGGACGAGGATGTGCCGGCCGGTGGCATCCGAGCCCGGTGCTTGAACAACCAACGATTGATTCTGTACATTGGCATCATAGACATCTTACAGTCGTACCGCCTGGAAAAGAAACTGGAGCACACATTCAAGAGCATCCTGTACAAGGGGGACACCGTCTCCGTCTGCCGGCCCTCGTTCTACGCGAAGCGCTTCCAGGAATCCATGGCGAATGTGTTCAAGAAGGCGCCCACATTTACTCTGAAACATTCCCCTTCAAAGCGTAAGACCTCGACGACCATGCTGCGGTCACCAGCCCCGCTCTTCACGCCGCAGAGTACGCCGATGGGCCTGCGGCAACCGGTCCTCGCCATGCCCTCCGGGATGTCAACGCCGCCGCCTCCCTTCGAGGACATCTCCGAGGAGGACATAACCGCGACTCTAACCACGACGTTGCCGGGCAATGGCGAAACAAAAAACCAAAGTGCGGCAGTACGCGCAGGTGGAAGCCCCGGCACTGGTGGCAGTGGGGAGCCCAGCAGCAACTACCACACCCAGAACTCCTACGATAGCTCCGGGCCGACCGGAAGTGCTCGAACGAGCGACTACAGTGACGACGACTCCACGGGCACCGGCGTGAGTGGATCGCGGTCGCCGCTGCATCGCGCCCGTCTTGGTCGGACAAGTGTCCAGATCACGAGGGTGGGCTACGTGGAGGACGAGCATGAGCCTTTGGCGGGTCAAGTGGGTGCCGAAAAGACGCACGCCGATGTCAACGGCATGGCCAAGATGGTGACGAGCACAAAGACGGCCATCATCGAGGCCCAAAAGTACACATCGACGCTGGTTGTCAACGATTTGCCGCACTGAACTCGGCTCTGACCCGATCGGGGGGTGGAGGCCAGAGGACTTCAGTGGCAAGGGTGGCGGGGGGACACATCTGTGGTTGTATGTGTGTCTGTGTCTGCAAGGTGTAAGCGCCACTCCGAACAAAAATACTGTATTTTGGCAGCAGCGCTACGCTCGTTTATCTTGATTAAACCCAAAAACCAAAAACGAATACGTATTCGATATTAAAATTTATGTGGCGCCTGTGCTAATTGACTGCCACCCACACGCCCACTGCAGACGGGGGTCCTTCTGCCCATTAAAATTCATAATTTCATTTCTTTATACCATTTTGTATTCTGTGTTTTCCCAATGTGTGGCCTTTACTGAAGATGGTTTTTATTTTTTTGGAAATTTTTGTGCACGAACCCTGAAATACTTAAACGAAATTGAACTAGGAAAATGATGAACCAATATATATGTGTATGTTGCTGTATTATAAAGTGCGTTTAAATATTCTAAGATGCTCATCATGTATATAACGAGAATAAACATACGTATATAAATATTTTACTCCAACGACTTTTCCGTTTTCTCTTGTTTTTCTGTGGAGTTGTGTGCCTGACTGCGGTTGACCATAAATCACTTAATGATTTTCAATATTGGTTTTAAGTACCGTTAATTTTAATCGCCTTGCAGGATTGTTAAGCCCCATTCAGCTAGCCGAGATCCAGGCAGCGTCAATTGTCCAATATTTACAGTGGCAGCGAGAAGGATTTTCCGCCAGGACTGGAATTTAAATTGGAGTTGGGACGGCAGAGCTCTCCATTAATTAGTCCATGGCCAATGGATGTTGCTTTTAATTTGTATATCCTGTAATTCGATATTTCGCATGTAGTTAAAGCCGACTTTTATGGGGTCTGGGCAAAGATGGAGGGATGCCTTTATTAAAAATATTTTCCAAGAGATAACTTCCATATAGTTTTTTCCAAATATGCCGATATGGATGGACATAATATGACTGATACTGACGTTAGACATTTAATTTTAAACAACAACAAAATATATATAAATATTTGTTTCTTTTTTATTTGTGACTTTTGTACTAATTGAATATAATTTTAATGAATTGCTTAATGAATTCAATAAATAAATGTTTACGATGAAAAAATGCAAAGGGGCGAGCGAAATTAAAATAGTTGCACGCTTATTTAATACATTTTGTTTACTTGAAACAAGCACTTTGTCAATATTTATTTGGCGAAGGAAAAAAAGAGCACTCGACATCAGTTGACCGATGGCACGGGGGCTCCACACCGGACAGGTGAGAGGTCAGGGTTCAGTGGGCATGTACATACATCTGAAAAATAAACTTCCCCACTCATGCATAACACAAACAGTGGCACACTCTCCATATTTTTGAGCCCTATTACATGCCCCGTACCTCGGATATATTATGTAATTATGGCCAAAAACAAAGTTTAATAAATATGTAAACTGGAAAGTGCAAAAAGCATTCAAAATTAAACAAAATAAAACACGAGTTCGGTTTGCGATGTCGCACGAAAATTGTTTTGCAGCATAATTAGTTTATTCCATTTGCATAATAGAGACTACTGGATACTGGATGCTTTTTGGCCACCACCATCCCATCCCATCCTCCCCGCAGAATATCATTTGCATTTCCAGAAGCTGCGTGCCAGGTGGTCAACGATGGCCCCTTCTTTGTCTCTGGCCCCATAACTCCACAGATTTTGTCTGTAAAATCTGCATAAATGCCCACAATTTGGGGCATTCACATCAATTATTTAGAAATTATTGCACAGTAATGTATGCAGCGGGGTGGCCAGTGGCGAGTGCCAGGCACCAGGAACCAGGCCATATGCCAAATTTCGTTTTGATGGCCCGAGACTTGGACTCCAAGTTCTCCACTCCTCCGCTGGCTCCTTAAACTGGACAAAACAAAATTTTCAACAGAAATTAAAGTTCAACAAGGTCAGGTCTGAATGGCAGGTGGGAGTGGGTGGGAGTGGAGCGGGTGGAAAAATGTAACATTTCATTGATTAAAATAATGATTTGTATCGCTGGGCGGAAATTTAATTTTTTTGCAACGGATATTAAGCCAATGTTCAGGCATGTGTGGGTGCGCTGTACTGTAGTCTGCCTCTACCCTGTGCTCCCCATCTGCCTTTCCGCTGCTCCGGTTCAGGAGGAATGACCTTTGGGGTGGCTCGATGGACTGGCCGGGTATTGGCAATGAATTCTGACCAGCCAAGCGGCAATTGCATTAAATTTTATGAATTTAAGCCAGTTAAACGAATGACTCCAATTTATATTTTATTCAAATGACTCTACTGATTCCTCTCCCTCTCTTCCTTTGCAGGCATGTCCTTTCAACGGAGCTACAGCAAGGTCTGGTGGGGATCGGAGCAGTCCTCCCTCACCAGCGGAGGCCTCTACTCGAGCTTCAGCAGCAGTGGCTTCGCCTACAACCAACAACGCCAGCCTTCCTCCCTCGGCCCGCTCGGCAATCTGTCGTGCATCCAGGAGGTCGAGGATGAGCAGAACAGTTCCAAGCTGTCCTGGCACAAGCACGACAGTCCTGGCAGTCTCAGAAGCCAGGACTCTGGCTTCTCCGACAATGAGGAATCACATCAGCTGCAGCATCAGCAGCCATCGCCCCAGTCACCGCAGTCGCTCAAGCAGCAAACCCCAACTGCCACGCCCACTTCCGTCAAATCAGTGGCCACCCCGCCCACTGTGGTGCGTCGGGTGGGCAACTCCTCCTTCTACTCTCCGCTGATTAGCGTCTCCCGTCGCATTTCCTTCACCAGCGGTCAGCTGACTCCGAAATCAAAGTCCGTGGAGGAGGATGCGGAGGACGCCGAGGTGGTGGCCAGCCGCAGTCGCCTGTTTGAGCAGTTGGACAGCATGAAGCTGGACGATGAGGCACCGGAGGAGAGGAGCCAGTTGGACGCCACCCCACCGAAGCCGGCTTTGAGGCGTCGCCGACGCCTGATGCGGAAATCCAAGCCGGACCCGGAGGAGGCTTCCGCCAGCGAGGAGGAGGGGGTGATAGCCCCACCGCCAGCCTACAACAACGAAACGGTGTACCTGGGAGAGGCGCCACCGCCGTACAATAACGAGACCGTGACCTTCGGAGCCGCAGATCAGGATGAAACCCTCCAGATGGCCCCCTCGCCACTGAGGCTCAGCTCCTTAAGATTTACGGCGAGTACCAGCACACCCAAGAACCGGTCGAGGGTCGCTAAGAAGCCAAAGAAACACCCGGAACCAGTGGCCAGCTGGATGATGGAGCAGCGATGGGCTGGCGAGCCGGAAGTGATGTGCACCCTGCAGCACAAGTCCATTGCCCAGGAGGCGTACAAAAACTACACCATAACCACCAGTGCGGTCTGCAAGTTGGTCAGGCAACTGCAGCAGCAGGCGCTCGCCCTGCAGGCCCACTTCGAGCGCAGTGAGCGGATCCTGAGCGGAATGCAGGCCAGTTCGCTCCCGGAAGCCCTGTCTGGAGCCACCCAGTTACTGTCCCACTTGGACGACTTCACCTGCACGCTGGAACGGCGGGGAATATTCTTCAACGATGCCCGAATCGAGCGTCGGCGCTACGAGCAGCACTTGGAGCAGATCAGGACCGTGAGCAAGGACACCAGGTACTCCCTGGAGCGCCAGCACTACATCAATCTGGAGTCTCTTCTGGATGATGTCCAGCTGCTGAAGAGGCACACCCTGATCACCCTGCGCCTGATTTTCGAGCGCTTGGTGCGGGTCCTGGTGGTCAGCATCGAGCAGAGCCGCTGCGATCTCCTGCTGCGCGCCAACATCAACATGGTGGCCACCTTGATGAACATAGAGTACGATGGCTTCGCCTCCCTGTCGGATGCCTTCATTCAGAACGAGGCAGTCCGCACTCTTCTGGTGGTGGTTTTGGACCACAAGCAGAGCTCCGTGCGGGCTCTGGCTCTTCGGGCCCTGGCTACGTTGTGTGGAGCTCCGCAGGCGATCAACCAGCTGGGAAGCTGTGGGGGCATCGAGATTGTGAGGGACATCCTGCAGGTGGAGTCTGCCGAAGAGAGGGGTGCCATCGAGCGAAGGGAGGCTGTCTCGCTGCTAGCCCAGATCACGGCCGCTTGGCACGGACCCGATCACCGGGTGCCTGGCCTGAAGGACTGCGCCGAGAGCCTGGTCACTGGACTAACTGCTCTGCTGCAGCCGGAATGCTGTGCCCAGACGCTACTCCTCTGCGCCGCCGCCCTAAACAACCTGAGCCGGATGGAGGTCACCTCGCACTACTCCATCATGTCCAACGAGGCCATCTTCCGGCTGATAGACACCCTGGAGCACCAGGACTGCGGCAACAGCGTATTTCTCTATGTAAGTACCCAAGGGTTAGGTGTGGGAAGAGTGGCATGTTTGAAGATAATAGATTCCTGCTATCCACCTTCAATTTTGAAAAAAAACCAAAGTAATTGTAACCAATAAGGTTTAGTCTGACCTTGAATGGATTCCGGCATGGATCAATATTCGGGGTTTTTTTTTGCCAATTTTATTGAAAGCTTTCCGGGTGCTGGCTCGTAAAATTTATTTGTGCATTTGCAAACCAATTTTTTCACAATCTTGGCCACAATTTTTCATTGGGCCAGCGGCACATGCAGACATACATATATGTAGAATCGTGAATCCTGAGTTGCTTATTTTTTGCTCATCAACATCTCCCCCTCTGTTTTATTTCGTTTCGTACAGGAGCAAATCGTTGGGATGCTGCACAACATGTCGCTGAACAAGAAGTGCCACAGCCACTTGGCCAACGGCATCATCATAAATTTCATCACGTCCGTGTACCAAACGGAATTTTACAAGACCTACGGATCACGTGCGGAGAGCGATGCCCAGCGCCGCAGCATCAAGACCATCCTGCACACGCTGACGCGCCTGGCCAGCGATTCCCCGACCCTCGGAGCGGAGCTCCTGGAGCAGTGGCATCTGCCGGACCTGCTGCGTCAATCTCTGGCCCTCAAGCCGACCGCCTCAGGTCAGTCGCTGGACCACTCCGGCTACAGCGGGGATATTTCGCAGCTGGCGCGACAACTCCTGGGTGCCCATCAGCAGGAGCAGCTGCTGCTGACCACTGTAGGACCGGCGGCCAGTGGCGCCTTCTCCAGCGGACACCAGACGCCCGAGGCCCAGACCAACTCCAAAACGAAGGCCAAGACGTCCTCCGCAGCGTTGCTCAAATTCAATTTAACACGTCAGGAGAGTTTCGTCTAGTTTGCACCACCTGAGAGGGTGGGTGGGCGAGTGGCGGGAAGAGGATGTGGTGGAGCCTAGAACTGAGCACGTCCTTTGGCCGGACACAAGCCGGAAGCTCAGACGTGCGTCAAGTGTTATTACTTTGTCTAGGAGGATGCGTGACCCGTTTGGAAGCGCTTTCGCTCTCGCACTCGATGCCGGCCCCGTTTTATCCTTGTCTGGTGGATGTAAACGAAGTAATTTTTATATTTCCACCCAGGCAAACAAGACAGGACCAAGGACCAGGGACCAAGGAGTCCAAGGCCAAACGGAATAAATAGAAATACAATTTTTGCTTAGTTATTTTTTCAATTCCCTTCCCTATATATTTTTTTTGTTTTTGTTTTCTGATTGTTTGTGTTGCCGAGGCAACTTTGGTATTCTTGTATGCTTATGACAAAAATGCTCTTAAAGTCCTTTCCATCTCGGTATTCGGATTCAGATTCGTTTTATATTTTTATTCAATGCAAATGCAACTTTGACATTGTGCATTCTCATTGTAAATATTTTCCCATTCCTGACCCCCAATCCCAATGCAACGAAACCCATACGGCTGGCAACTTAAAACCAAAAACTTTTGAAAATTCCTTAGATGTCGTAGGAGAAGTTATTTGTGCCAAATAAAATGAGAAAGGATATGCAAACAATTTGTTTGTTCTGTACTTAAAGCAATTGTATTGCTAATGTTTGTAATGTATTATATCTATCATATATGTCTATATCTACGCTTACCACTACTGTGTGTAGTTACCATTAAGTTCATTCTAAGATTATTAATTCAAATTATGCTTTGATCGAAATTAAGTCCTTAAAATAAATCATTGATGTGTGGAAGAAAAAAAGTGAAATTTCATTGGGAGTAATGTGATGTCAAAGGGAATCCACGTGAGATATTTCAGAAATGCTTCATTTTGTGATTAAAGACATTAGTTTTAGAAGAAAGGCTGAAAGCTGAAGGTAATTATTACTTGCTGCCATGTCTGCCTCAGATTTAAAGCTTGTAGAGCAGACTATTATGCAAAACTTTCGTTTAAAATAAAAAGGAATTACTTGTTACTCCAGCTTAGTTTCTGTACAAGCTTGTCCTGTTATCCTTTCACCTGACACAGTTTTTCAGCCATTTTTCTGTCGGCAGTCTCCCATCGACTGTGACCACACAAAAGTAAATACCGCATCCGATCATCTTGGCATGCAAATCCACAGATACCCCCACAGCATCCGACACTCCAGCAGTTTATCTAACATTGGGAATCAGAGCTTAGCACTCGGCAAGTGTTGTGTGTGTCTTGAGTGACAGGAACAAAGGAGGAAGGATGCTCTACTTAAGCCAACCACCAGTCTTAGTTAGCTTAAAGAAAGAACTTAGTTCTTTTATGGACCTGCCATGGAAAACTTATTAATTGATAAATTGCTATTGACACATGGTCTACCGAAAACATATTTCTGTCTATTTTTGTGGATCAAACTTTAAGTTTTCAAGTCGGATAGCCCATATAAATGCTAAGCTGTAGCCAGACTGACAGACCAAGGAAACCTCCTTGTTTTTTCATAAAGCTTTTCCCTCCAACCTCCACTCTCAACTCGATATCCGAATCGGGCATAAACAAGTTCTTTAGAGTAGATTGAAGTTTTATAATGTTGGCATATTTTGCATGGCTGAGCCCGGAATGAGGCAAGATGCTGTATCCCAGATGCTGGATGCCATGCCATCCGAGTGGGAGTGTGTGAGTTCCCATTGAAATATGCCACCCCGACGAGCCGGAAGGTGGAATCTTGACTCGGCGTGTGTGTTTGAGGCATGCGGAATGGCCGACTCGGATCCAAAGTGTTGCGGCATTTGATGCCTTCACATGCATGTGCCTCGGTGTATTAAGGCATGTATGAGTGAAGTTTGTGGACTCGAAGTCAGAGATGAACAAGGCAATAAAATGAACTGAAGCTATAAGTTTCTCGAAAATATTCAAGTCAGAAATTTTATTATTTAGAAACTCTATAGTATTTTTAATTTGGAACTATAAGTCATGCTCTGTCACGTGACCATCTCTGGTGTTCGGGGGGCCATTGGCAGACCGTCGGGAACGACCCATTGACCTCGGCTCCAGTCTAACGCCCGTTTATCGTGGCTGGCTTATCTATGGATCTTTTGTAGGTAAGTGGTGGAGGCGCCCAGAACCGTTTTGGGGGCATGGGATGCCACTGTCGCCCGGGCGTTGCTTTCATGATTTTTATAGCATTTGTTGCTGGTGCAGGAAGTGCCTTTAGTGATTTCCGCATGCGGCCAACTCGGTCCTGTTTACACAGCGAGCATATTGCGGTTGACACATTTTGTCCGTTTATGTTTTTGAAATGTGTTCCGCTTTTCCGTCCCTTCTTTTCTTTCCAAGCCACTCTTTTTCCCACTGACTTTAAAGTACCAACTCGGCAGCCAGGCAGGAATAAAAGTGCTTCAGACAAAACGCCATGAAAAATGCATGCCCCAAGGAAAGGCATGTGTGGAAAGAAGGGGCGGGCGGAGAGTTGGGTAAGTGAGGCGTAAACAAACGATTTCTGGAATAACTATGGGCAAAATAGTTTGCGGCCAGAGACCCCACGGAGGGAGGACCACTTCTTGTGTCATAATTAGGGCCTTGGCACGTGCTCTGAACGGCAACGCAGCGATAACGGTGGCCCAAAACTTTTCGCACTACTATCAACAGCTAAAAGCGTTAAAAGTTGCAACTTGGACGAAAGTTGCACCTCCGGAGCGCCGCCAGTGCAACAATGATGGCACAACACTGGCAGGAGTAGGACTACCAGGACCAGCTCCACTAACAGCAATCAACAAAAGTGAAGTTACCCTGACAGCAATTTTGTTTTATTTTTGTATCCTTTTTGAAGCTTTTATTTATTTTATTTTTCTCATAAAAAAAAGCCACATGAAAACCATTAATAAGGATTCTGTGTTTACCAATTAGTTACAAATTATTTATTGGTTTTATGAATTATTAAAAGCTCTTTAGATGAATAGGTAATGCGGCTTATTGTGTTTAGCGGTCTATTTTTTCAGTCTAAATGCAAATTATATAATTAGCTGGAAAATAGTTTTTTTCTTTCTGGCCGACAGAGATGGTTAAGTGTTTCCGTTTATTGGCAGAACGATGAGTCAGCTGGCGGCTATTAGAGTCGAGGAGGTGCATGCCCTATCTGGGAGATAATATGGCCTGGCCTGGGATAAGTTTTTATGGGCCTTGACTGGCTGGATGCAGCATAGGCACTTACTGCTCGTCCTGTGAAAGCCAAGGACATGCAGGATGTGAGAAGTGCACTTAAATGCAACTCCTGCTATGTTTTTCTTACACACTCTCACTCCTCTTTTTTGTATTTTTTGAACTGCCAGCTTATCAGACTTTTGCCGCAGGCTTACACAAACACACTCACACTATCTTACTTATAGACCCACACATATAGACTCTGAAGGACTGAAAGATTTACTCGAGCTTCAGGGACTTCAGTGCAATTAGGATAAAGCGCGAAGTGCTGGGCTTTGGGCTCTCGGCTCTGGGCCATGGCTCCATTTTGATGCGGCCATAAACGAGTTGTCATTATTAATGCCAATGCCAGTGCCACACCCCCTCCAACGCATCCCGCCCACTCGAACCGACCCGACCCACCCAATAAACCAAAGCATTATTAACTGCCCGCCGAAAGTGGAGAATGGATTGCGTATACGCAACGTGTCCCACGAGTGGCAACTTTTGCCGCAGGCTGATGGGCCAAATCCTCTGGCATTATCATGCGATTATTAGCCAATATTTTATTTCGCACCATTTCTTACACGCACACATAAGCATACGCATTACTTTGGCTCCGCTCTTGGCAGAGTCATAAATTTTTATTTGTTGCAGCAAAGGGTTGTAAAGCGTCGCCATTATGTTTGCTATTTCATCCTTTTTTTCGTCCTGGCCCGCCCTGGATTTTTTTTGGTTTTATTTGCCATCGTACAGACGTGCACAAGATGCGTCAAAAAAATTGGAGGATATACTGGTATAGGGTGCGGGCGATATACCGAGGACCTCGGCCCGTGGGCTGGGCGTGGCAGCTGAATTTATGGCCGCAAATTGATTGTAAGTGCATAACGAAAACTGGAGAATTTCCGACTGTTTCTGTTTGATTCCTGTTCGAGTGGAATGCGAATATTTCGACGGCATTGTTTTTGGCCGAAAGACAACAAGTTAGCAGGAGGCAGGAGGCTGGGGCCGACTATAGGCTGAGCACCCTTGGCATGGCCACAGAAACAATCAAAACTGTTGACCGCAATTCGGAGCAATTGGTTTTGCCATTCGTTTTGTCAGTTTTTAGCATTGCGGTTAAGCGATTCAGGACGAATCAGAACGATTCCTGAATCCTGCAGTGTTACACTCTAGACTCTAGAGTTATGTTGTGTGTTTGCCACAGTTGTGTCAAGATATGAAACGAGACAGGCAAACAGCTTCATTGTTGCTCAGCTTTCTGTTTATTGTATTCTTTTTCTCCACTTGCCTCGTTTTGTTTTCACTTTTTGTTGTCCTGTTGTATCTGGAGCTGAAAATGCATATTGAAAATTGTGCAAACAAGACTGCCAGAATGCAGTCAATTTTCCGTTGTGTTGTGTTTTCTTCGGCTTGCTTGTCATTGGCAACTGTGTCTCTCGCCCTTTGTTTTGCCACATCTGGTTGCAGTAGCAACATTGCCAACCAAAGTCCTTACCCCCACTACCTCCCTCGCTGCAGTGTCCTGTTTCAAAAATTGACACATTGAGCGATGAGGTTTGGTTAATGTGGCCAACATCGGGACGAACTGGGGATGGGCTTGTAAATAATTGCAAATACTAACAGGTCCTTGGCATGAAAGGCAAGCTTCTAATTTGGGTTGACATTTAAGGGGTACAGTTTCTTTTTATAGAACTTTGATGCAGAATGATGGAGAATCGATCTAGAAATCGTTTAAGGTACGCCGCTTGAGAATCGGATCAGGATTGGGGAAGATATAGCCATCACAGCGCCCCATGTAGGGGAAAACCACATTTTCAAGGGATCCCATCACAATAATGGACAAAAAATTTAAAAAATATTTTGTCTCGGGATTTTGAAGCAAAATGGTTGAGAATCGATCTAGAAATCGTTTAAAGTACTCCGCTTGAGAATCGGATCAAAATTGGGGAAGAAATAGCCATCACAGTGGCCCATATAGGGCAAAACCACATTTTCAAGGGATCCCATCACAAAAATGGACAAAAAATTTAAAAAATATTTTGTCTCGGGATTTTGATGCAAAATGGTGGAGAATCGATCTAGAAATCGTTTAAAGTACTCCGCTTGAGAATCGGATCAAAATTGGGGAAGAAATAGCCATCACAGTGGCCCATATAGGGCAAAACCACATTTTCAAGGGATCCCATCACAAAAATGGACAAAAAATTTAAAAAATATTTTGTCTCGGGATTTTGATGCAGAATGGTGGAGAATCGATCTAGAAATCGTTTAAGGTATTCCGCTTGAGAATCGGATCAAAATTGGGGAAGAAATAGCCATCACAGTGGCCCATATAGGGGAAAACCACATTTTCAAGGGATCCCATCACAATAATGGACAAAAAATTTAAAAAATATTTTGTCTCGGGATTTTGAAGCAAAATGGTTGAGAATCGATCTAGAAATCGTTTAAAGTACTCCGCTTGAGAATCGGATCAAAATTGGGGAAGAAATAGCCATCACAGTGGCCCATATAGGGCAAAACCACATTTTCAAGGGATCCCATCACAAAAATGGACAAAAAATTTAAAAAATATTTTGTCTCGGGATTTTGATGTAAAATGGTGGAGAATC